CAAGAAGCGGAATCAACATCGGGCAAGACAATCCCTGCTGTCTCAACTAGTCCATCCATGGTATTACTTATCCCCAAGTTATAAATAACATTTACAACAAATAACAATCTAATCTCATCATTAATACAGGTTGATCCTTCTGAAAATGTCAATAATCAGACACTCAAAAACCCCACTTCTACGGATCCCACTGACGAAGAAGCCATCTCTGATAAGGTTTCCCGGAAAATATTTAGTTACCCGCAAAGAATAATGTTTACATATAAAAATTTTGTTACCCATTATATGTGACCAGTATAAACCTCATCTTTCCAGGAATTGGAGGAATGGGCAATGACGCTGGCGACTGCTATGGGAAGAAGTACCTCAGAACAATTACAGGTAATGAATCATTTACTAATATTGATATCCTTTTCTCAAATATAATTTTATATGATCTTACATTGATTTTACATTGTCATAGGGGGAAACATCTCAGATGGATATTGATCCTCCATCTTTTTCTATTGGCCTTACCCAATTAGAGGAATCAGATCGTGTGCTTCAGCCTGCTCCACTTACTGTTGTGCTACCTCCAACTGGGCAATCATCTGGCACAGTGGACACACAAAGAGCCCAAAGACAAACAATCCCCCCAACAGCTTTACAAGACTATGAGCTAGACCCCAAGAGTAAGCCTGGATTCCGCGTCCTTCCAGACCTTCATAAATTGTTCGACAAGATGAGGCAGCTTATTTCACCCACGGGGTTAGTGTATTTTCAATATTTTACAAGTGGCGCGATTATGATCCACCCCACCACATCTTGTGCAAGTCCTCTTCCTCTTGGAACGACCTGAGTGCTGAAAAAAAAATCTTTCCCGTTAATAAGTATAATTTCAGGTAAAGATATTTTTTGTAATGTTCCTTACCCTTATTTCTCCTGCGGATGGTATCCTGCTCTTCCTCGGCCTTCCTGGAGGCCTGCGTGTGTTTGGCGGGAGCAGTTTGAAGGATTCGGATCCACCTATGTCGAGGTGGTTAATGCTCACCGGGTTTATCCCACCTTCATACGCCTTCTTCCAGTAAACGCTGCTGTACGCGACAGCCACTAAGTCCTCCACCTTATGAGCTCGGTTTAGCGCAGCCCCAAGTGCGTGGACACAAGGGATTCGGAGCCTATCAAATTCCTTGCATGAGCAGCTCTTCCTCTTCAGATCAACACGGTAAAACATCCCCAAGCTATCGCGAACTTCATACTCCTCTTCAATGATATGCCGGACATTGAATCCCGTTGAGAACTGGAAATTACGCGCCAAGATTGCGGTAACCTTAGGTGTTACCGCGTTTGTGTTTGAGTTTGCGGCGTCACGCCTGGTAGAGAACCAACCCATCATCATGGTCCTGATGTACTCCAAAAGAGCAACAATCGGGTATCCTCGTGCTTCCGCCAAAGCTGCATTGAGTGACTCGGCTAAGTTACTTGTCATGATGTTGTACCTTTCTCCCTCAAAGTGAGCCCGCGCCCAGTGCTCAAGACCGACGCGCATAAGATAGTCTGCGCATGCAATGTCCATCTTCTTGATTTCATTGAAGTGGACATTGAAGTCCTCTATCTTGTAAGCCCTGGCAGCTTTTCCA